CAACATGGCAACACCTCTTTGCTTTGCCCATTTGCTAAAACCATCTGGAACCTGATCCCGTCGTGGAAAAGGATACACCAGGGTAGTTCATCCAAGCGGACGACTTCCCTCAATTTCACTGTGCTGCCCTTTTCTTAAAAAAAAAAAAGCTTTCGTTTACAGTTTTGTGTTCTGACTGTGTTTTTCATGAACGGGGATCCTTAAGCCTAAACATTTTTTGGGTTCATTAGATGACGACATGACGTGCAAAGCCTCGTTCAGTGACAAAATTGAAGCATGGTGAAAGCTACTCGTACTATTTTCCGCAGCAGCACTGCTGCAAAGTCTTGTGTAAGAGTACGTAAAAAACACAAGCTCCTGACCGGTCCCATGCCCGGAGTGCAGGCTCACCATCACCTACTCTACTCTTTTTTTTTTGAACATATCACCTTTTTACTCTCCTCCTGAGGAGCTTTATCACCTGCCGCCTGCCGGCCGGGCTCCTGAACTGCATTTGGGCCTGGGCCTCGCGTACCGGGCTACCAGCAGCGTACAACACTACTGCTACTCGGACAGTCGCAACAATCTCCTGGAGTCCTGGCAGCGAGCCAGCGACACTGGGAGAGGCCTACACTCTGCAGTAGCATTTTTTTAAAAGATAATTGTATGTGTATAAGAAAACTAGCTTCCTTCTCCTTTGGAAAAAAGTTGATACAGCGTGACTGCGAGTCTGCGAGAGCACAATGTTGCGCCGAAAAAGACGTACAATTTCAGTGCAGACAGTATCTGTGCCTTTTCTCACTTTTCCGTCGCTTTTGGAGCCTGATTGGTGTTTCCCCACCAATCACGCCGAACAAGCTTTATCGTTTCCATTGTACCCATTTGTCTTTTACCTCAATCCGTCTAGACGCCTGATTTCTTACTACTCGTCGTCTTCAATTCTTCATTCAGTGTAACTTTAAGTGAAGTGACCTTGGCTAACGCTCAAGCTCATAGAATGAGGTCTGTTTGATCCCAAGAGCTAATAATTAAAATTAGTTTTAGTAGATCTATACACTACAGCTAATGACTCAATTAATATCTCAAAATGAACTATATGTTACTAAAAACTTATTAACCGGTGCTATTTAGCTAACTAGTACTAACAGCTATTATTAGATGGAGAGTCCAAATAGGACTTAGCTCCCCCCCCCCCTCCAGTAAAAAACTATTGGGTGGGTTGGGTGGGGGGGATATTAGGTGCAAACCACTTTTTCAGTAGAATCATGAAAACCCCCTAAAAACATATTTAGGAGTTAAAAAAAACCTAAAACTATGCATATCCATAGTGCATCTATAGTTGTACATTGTCACCAAATTTGATATTAAACTCATTTTATAAAAAAAATCATAAAAAATAACAAATTTCGGGTGCATACAAATTCTCAGAAAAAAATCATAAAAAATAACAAATTTCGGGTGCACACAAATTCTTTTCCTATGATTTTTTTCTAGACAGAGTTTGAATCACAATTTTTGTCTTATAGATGTACATTTATAGATGCAATGGATGTGCATCATTTCAATTTTTTCGAAAACTCCTAAGAATGTTTTCCTTCGAGTTTTTTCACAATTCCACCAAGATGGTTTGCACCTGATATTTTCCAACTATTGCTCCCTCCATCATGAAATATAGGGATCTGGAGTTCTAAATTTGTAACAAAATACATGGTATTCTAAATCCTCATCTCTCTCTCTCTCTCTCTCTCTCTCTCTCCCCTCTACCCATTTTTGCAAGAAATATTGAGATTCCTTTTAAACTTGGCATCATCTAAAACGATCACCAGTAATAATTAAGAAAAAAACAACGAACTACGCCATCCTAACTAGTGGGAGGTAAGGTGATCTTTTGCTAAGTTCTTTATTTTGTCTAAAAATCTCTTCGATACCTTATGTTTTAAGGCGGAGGTAGGCTTCCTTTGGCTAGCATAATAGCTGTCCGGATCCAAAAAGGCCCTAAGTGAGCTACATGGTTCGGTGCATCTACCATGTTTCTTGACAAACACAAAGTTGGCAACCCCAAAAGCTAAATGATTGATCTCAAGGCAAACATACCACTGAGGCTGCAATTTCACATAACAAATTTGTTTTTTGGCATCATATTTTGTTACCATCAAACTTTTATATCTAGAGGTGAACACATATTATTTATATAACTGACATATGTATCCAATTTCATCCCATTAAGCATTGTTTGGAATGGAGGAATATAAAACAGAGGAATTGGAAAAATAAAGGAAAGGGAAATAGGCATCCTAGCAAAACAGAGGAAAGGAAAAACATAGGAATATGGTAGGAAAGAGTGTTTGGAACATAGGAAATCAAAATGAAGGAAAAAACAGTTGAGAGAAAACACTTAGCACAAAACGATAGATCAAACTACACATCAGTAGTTACCAGGCTCTTTTGATGATTGTGGGACCCATGCACTTACTCATCCACCCACTTTTAGCAGCAGACAACCATGCATTCGATGAGGTTATTTCCGTAGTCACCTCGGGTTTCCACAAAGGAATCAGAAACCAGAGGTTGGAGTAGAGTTTTGCTTTCCCGTGAAACTACGAAGAAGCTACAATGTTCCATAAGAAAGGAGAGATTACTTTCCTGTTGCCTTTGATTTTTTATGAAAATCCTTTGTTCCAAACGCTCCCTAAGCAGGAATTACTCCACCTTATTACAACTCAAACATTTCAAGGCAAACAAAGTAGTCTAAAACCAAATTCCACTCAAAACCAGTTCTCAATATCGAAGCCATCCAACACGTTTGGCAAGCCCCACCACAATCACTTGTAGACCCTCACACCATTATAATTGGGATCAAAACCAAAGCCAGTGGGTCCATCTGAATAGAACCTGAAAAGAGATTACATGGACATTTGTCAACACTAACTTCATTCCTTGTTATCCAAATAGACCATTGCTGCAGCAGTAAGTAAAATGATTGAAAGTTTTATCTCTCTGAAAATACCAATCATTTAACATGTTTTGGGCCTTTGGAGGTGGATTGATTCCTAGCACCATATGGACTACTCTCCACAAAACATGGCATGTGAGTAGTCAAAGAAAAATGTTGGTTGGTTCTGGGTTTGCCGCAAAAATAGCCTAACATATCCCCATTCCACAATTCATCTTTGCTAAATTACCCTTAGTGAGAATAACCCTTATTTTAAAGAGCCAGAGAAATATTTTTAAACTTACAAGGGATTCTTAGGCCTCCAATACTTGTGAAATTTAAACCATCACCGACGAAGTAGCTATACAATGAGTTCACTATGAAAATACTTATTATGTAGGCTGTATACAAAAACATCGGTAGCCTTTTCATGATTAATATTAATCATCCTTATAGCTAACACTATACAAACACTATTCTTTAGTAAGCACACGTGACTTTTATTTTTTTCGAAAGGCGGCAAGAGCTTTGTTGGATTTTTATTAGACGAGGCACATGTGACTTTATAGCTAACACTATTCTTTTAACTACACAGTTTCGAATCTTATATTGTATATTTGGCATTCAAAACAACTTCAAATGAAAAAATTGTTACCTGCAAAGTTGTATATCTAATCGAGTACTATAATTTGATGTTGACTTTATATCTATTCGACATTATTAATCATGTCAAATCTGATGTGAGAATTTATATTGAATATTTGGACATGTAAACCATCTCGAATTAAAAAGTTATCAACTAGAAAGTTTTAGATCTCTTTAGACTCTACAATTTTGGTATTTGTCTTAATCCGATATCATATGAAAATGTTATGATTTTTTTTTGTGCAAAACAACTATCACTGCCGGTTGCATGTTGTTTGTGAAGAACAAATAACTTTTAGGGCTGCTATTGTCATCCTATTAGTGGTCATCTTAGTGAAAATTTCAAGGTTCAACAAATAAATCGGTATGTACTGTTGGATTTATTTAGCCTCACTACTTTAAAATAATATGGTTACATATAGTTTCAAAATTTAACCAATGGAGTGTGAGGTCTCCTCTATGGAATTTGTCGAATAGAGCCATGAAATTCTCTTTTATGGTGTTCCAAAAGGCCTGATGAAAATCCATAGAGATGAATGAGCAATTATGTTTTTTGCTTTCCGTTCACACAGAAAAAAAGGAGGTTATGTTTTTAGCTTGGTGGTATAAATGGAATCAGCCACCAAACCAAGGTTGGCTATGCAGTATCGCAGTGTTGCCGTTTCGATGATTGGACGCCAAAGGGGCAAGGTAGCTAGGCCTTAGAAACCAAATGTAAGAATAGTAGATGGGATGTAAATTGTACTATGTAAATTGTCCTCGTGACTCAGTACAGATAGATAGATGCAGGCTTGTTTAGTTTCTTCCTAAAGTTTACTCCTGAGTATTAAATAAATATAGACTAAAAAAATAATTAATTGCACAGTTTATGATTAATTTACGAGACGAATCTTTTAAACCTAATTAGGTCATGATTTGACAATGTGGTGCTACAGAACACACATGCGCTAATGACGGATGAATTAGGCTTAATAAATTAAATCTAAATGGATTGTTGACGATTCTGTAATTTATTTTTTATTAGTATCCGAACACCCCATGCGACACCCCCATATGATACCCAATATGACGTCCCAAAACTTTACACCCTGGATTTAAACAATGCCATAGTCACCTTTTTGCACGCCACTGTTCTATTTTGAATAAGGCAACCAAAAAAGCACTGCTGCGGAGCAGATAAACCATGGCAAACTTGTACCGCTGAAAAAGGGAAACAAAGTTCCGTACCAGTCACCATGCCACGCCATACAAACACTGGCAAAATTAATTTGCGCACCTTCATTTGCAGCTTTTACTTAGGTTCTGTTCATGCATGTGAATTTCTTGTACACTATCACTATGACACGCCACGGGTATTTATACTCATTGACTTATTTTGATGTTGCGTATATTGGTTCTGTTCTGTGCCCATTTGATCGTTGAACACTGACAACCGGATGGCGGATCAAACCTTGTACAGCATGCCGATCTCGACTCGCTGTTGCAGCGGCGTCCCCAGCGCCGGCAGTGCGGAGCGACAGATGCCGTGCAGGAACTCGTAGAACCCGAGCATGATCTTGTCGAACCACCCGGCGTCCTCGCCCACGTAGAACCTCATCTTACCCCGAACGTGCACCACGACGGCCATCCTCGCCGCCTCCAGACGCGCGGCCTCCTCTGCCCCCGCCTCTGTCGTCGTGTCAAAGTGCCGCCGCAAGGAGCTCGTGACCTGCGCGGTGAGGTCGCCGTCGCCGAGGCTGTCGGCGTACCCGTACTGGACAGTGCAGCCGTACACCCCGTTCGGCCCCAGCCTCCTGACGAGGATCCTCTCCCGCTCGTCCACCTTGGCCACCAGCAGGTACCGCAGGGTGACGAAGACCGTGACCGCGTGCAGCGAGCTCATGTTCTTGATGTAGTGGCCGAGGATGGGGGTGAGCCCGTCCTGGATGTTGCTGTAGAAGAAGCACAGCCCGGGGACCCTCTGCACCTCCGGTCTCGCCAGGAGCTCGCTGAGGCGTTCCACGGTCACCTTGTTCGCCATCTCGTACTCCATCTTCCGTTGCCTGCCGTAATACCAGCCGAACATGACCAGTGCCAGGATGATGGACACTGCAAAGGGAGCCACCCGCCTTCAGGGATCTTGGTGAAGACTGCACTGACATAAGATCCTTCCATGATGAAGAAAGGCACGAAGTATAGCGCCACAAGGACAAGCGGTGTTCTCCATATAATGATCATCACCAGAGTGAGCATGATTGTGGTTATGAGCATGACCATGATGACCACAACACCTGCAGTAACAGTCATGTATCAGTTCTATTCTACAGGAACAAAGCGGTTGCGTATCAGCAGATGCAGCATTTTGCAGAATTCACTTACCGAATGCGTTCCCAATCGCATTTCCAGCACCAAAGCCTAGTACCACACTAACGCATAGTACCATGAGGATGTAATTGGTTTCTGGGGAGTAAACCTCCCCTTCTTTGTGCTGGGACGTGTGCACCACCTTAACGCGCGGGAAGTAGTCCACGACAACTGATTGCTTGATGACTGAAAATGTTGCAGATATTAAGGATTGGCTTGCGACGATTGCTGCCAGTGTTGCGATGATGAACATGGGCCAGTAAACAGGGCGAGGGACAAATTTGTAGAATCCGTCACTGAAGTCGTTAACATTGTTGATGAGATATGCTGTTTGCCCAGCATATGTGAGGACCAGAGAAGGATATATGCTAGACAGAAATGCTATCTGCGAAAACAAGACAGCGTTTAACTGACCATATCAGGAACAGTTCACAAGGAAAGGACCTCAAGGTTGCAATTTTGGTGAAAAATAACCTGAATACCCTTCTTACTGAAGTGGCCAAGATCTGCAAACATAGCTTCAGCACCTGTACGCATGAAGGATTCGTGGTTATGTTGATGTTGCATCATATTTGATGGGTCAAAAGCATGGCGGTGTAAAGTTGTTACCTGTGATGCATAGAACAGTTCCGCCGAGCATGCGCCACCCTTCCTTTTATTTCTCAGGAAGAAGCGAACAATATAATGAGGTGAGATGGCTTTGAAGATGCCGGGATAGTAATGAACAATGCTATACAAGCCGATGATTGGAGTGGTGAAAGTCCATGCTGCCATGATTGGTGAAAACAGAAAGCTCACTTTTGAGGTCCCATACTTTTGCAGTAAGAATAAGCCGATAAGGATCACAGCAGACAGAGCTTCCACTACAGCTGGGAGATTGAAAGGAAGGATCAGTCTATTAGCAATACCCGTGTCAGAAGATTGTTGTCATTACTCCTTGGTTACGGCTGTCAAACCACTTACCGTTGCTGACAGAAGGAAATGGCCCTCTTAGCCCTTCGATCGCTGATAATACTGAAATGAAAAGAGGTAAAGAGTGAAGTGACAGATATAACTGGGATCACAAAAATAGACTATCTTAAGCATAGGGACAAACCTGAAATAGCAGGAGTGAGTATGCCATCCCCAATGAGCATGCACATGCCCAGTATTGCCATGAACAGCAGTGCCCTTCTGGCTGTTATGCTTCGCTCAAAGAACTTCCCCAGCCAGCTAGGCCTTCCAGATCTTGCAGACTGATTCTGAAGTAGAGGCTCTTCTTCCGAATAAACTTTTTTGGAAGGAAGTATGCCTATATCAGCATGCCTACACAACAAAGAGTACATGGCAAATGTACCTCCTACAGAAAAAATGCTCTTATTAGTGTGTTACAAAGTAATATTCGATCTGCCCATGTAAAGAGAAGTCTTCTCTAGAAACTACAGCCCCACATCTGTCAGGCCTTTCAGTTCAGTTCGTCAAATATATACAACAGAGATGAAAGTGATCTAAGATAGATGTAGGGTCCAAGATATCAAGAACTAAGGTTTCTTCCAACATGGCCACAAACTGAAAAAGAAGAAAGGCAGCATGGGCACGGTAGTTACTTACCTTCACCATGATCGTCGGCATTAAGGGCTATGCCTACATACTTGACCACACCAATCAAAGTAAGAGTCCAAAACATTATGCTGTATAACCCCATGTAGTCATCTTTTTGTAGGAGATGACAAGTTCATCGAGGGTAAACGTAGAGGGAGATGTGACTAGGCCACCAAACACAACACCGAGAGTCTTGTATGCAAGGACTAGGTCTCTGCGAAAAATTGCCACCCTGCTCATAGTTGAGGGAAGACATTAGTATTAATCAACCAGCTGAAAGATAACAATCTAACTTTCTTCTTGGAAAGGCGAATAAGAGAGATGCACATATTACACTACTGCACCACAGCGATCATATATAGCAAGCAGCTATCTGTATGCGTAGCTAATAACTGGAGTCAACGTCGACCAAGCATGTTGCCCAAGTGGAAACGTGTGGGGCTCATGATAATGATGAACAAGTTTGGTGGCTTTAGTGCTACAGAAAATGTCACATCGTGAATACAATTTGGTCAAGGCAACACAAGCATGCAAGACTTTTCCTTAAGGCAAACGGAAGAAGAAGAAAAAAAAAAACTCAGAGCCTGGAAAGAGGCACAGGTTCTGAATCGGTACATACTAGTACAAACATAGCCATGCAGAGAAGGAAGAGGCAGAGCACCGGAGATCACTGGCGCTAGAGGGCTGCGCGGACAGCGATTGGCTGATGCGCTCGGACGGATCGGGCAAAGCGGGGCGGTGTTATTAGGCTCTATTTGGATGTCCTAATAAAAATGAGAATGAGGTAGTAAAATGAGAATAAGATCTAAACACTTGGATTATACAATTAGATTCTACAGTAGAATCCAACTATCTATCCAAAACCTACTATTTGGAGATTTCATTGTATAAAAGTAATAATCATTATGATATTGAGACCCAAACACCCTTTTATTTTAATCCAGAATCCAAATTCTACATTAACTTCTAGAATCCAGAATCTCGCTATGAGAATAACAACCAAGCATGCCGTTAGTCAAGTCCTTGATTAAGAGGTCTAGTCGCAATATCGCATAATAAAAGATGGAATACAGATGTTGGAATTTTTGGACAGGACAGAAGGACGAATGCTGCGTGCATAATGAAACGGCATCTGGTCAAGTCAACGGTTAAAAGGTGTAACCACATCAACGCAACGACAGGCTACAGATGTTGATAACTTTGAAAAATGAAAAGAAAAGGGACTGACTTTTCATGAACAAATAATGGAGGCAGAAAAGGAGGCAAAGGGTAGCACAATTAGCATTTGGATCACTTGGCGTAGACAGTTAAAAAAAAAAACGAATACGAAAGTCTCTAACGGCACTGGAAATTAAAACAGCAGAAAATGGACCTGCACTCACTGCAAGGTGACAAGGCTATTCGTTGTCAGTGATCACCGGCGCGGAACGCACCGCACCTCGCTGGAAAACGAAGAGCACGGGCTTTGGAAAGTGGTCCGTCTTCCTTCTCCGTGTGTTCCCACTCCCCATGTAATCCTACGAAATCCTCTATTTTCCCTAGCTAGAGTGCGAGTCCACATCACCTCAATCACTGCAACTGAAAATTCCTAACTGTAAGTCATGCATAGTATGCATTGCAATCTAACTACAGCTGATGATTGAAACACTAAACCCGCCACTGCATGTGAAAAGCTTTAATTTGTTTTCTTGTGGCAAGAGCGTATGAAATGAAACTACGGAACACCACAGCGGGAGGAGATCCCCGAAGATCATGAAGGCTCGAATTCGAACAAAAACAAAAGAAAATCTAGTGCGTGCAGTCTTATCTCTTATGGAAGGAAGGTGGGCGCCTGGGCGGGGTTTTTGTTGTGCGAAGCGAACTAACCTCCGCCTGCCCGTATTCGGGAGGACCGCCGCGGCCGGGGCCGGGCCGGCCGGTCTCGAGATCCAGGTGGCTCCCCGTCGTCATGGGGAGCTCCGAGCGCCGCCTCGGTGGAGCGGAGCCGAGCTAGAAAACGAAGGCGGCCTGCCTCTGCCTGGGTGCTGCTGCTGTCTGACGGCCGCACGGGGCGAGGCTGATGAGTATCGGCCGAGGTCTGCGCCACGTGCCCGTGGTGAACTGCGACTCTGCGAGCGAGGACTGGAACTGGAGTACTACTGGACGGACGGACAGATTCCCAGGAGGCAGACCGGACCGCGAGTAGTGTGAACGGGGACGGACACGAATTTTGGGCCCTGGCCCTCTGTTGTGTGGTGGTGTGGGCTGTGAGTTTAGGTAAGGCGAGCGCGAGAGAGGGGCTGCTCCCTGGGCCCTGGCATCCAGCCCATGGCCTCATGCTGCTCAACCCGCCGTCAACAGCGATGCTCCATGCTCTCGTCAACCATGCCCCAGAAAAATCCTAAAGCTCCATAAGATGTATGTACTACTACCTCAGAATAGTACACCCAGAACGCGACAGTCTTTTAAGTTTTAACATACATACATGCAGCAGACAAAACATCTAAAACAAAGTCAATCTTAGCTGGGACAAGTGATTCGTCTTGGTTTGTCACAGTCACTGTCCACAATCCCACGCACGCACTCCCGCGCCGCCGGCCCATGAGAGCAGTCGTCGGCAGATTTTCACAGTCACTATCCCACGCACGCACGCGCCGCCGGCCGGCATGCATATGCATTCACCAAGTCGTCAAAACGCAGCCTCGTGGTTGGTGATTTGTATAGCGTCTCGCTCGCATCACCTTCTGCATCATATCGCGACATGGTTGGTCGTGGTGCGTCACGAGATCTGACCCGCCATGGCGTCAAAGATTGGAGCGTGATGCAATGCAATGCAATGCAATACAGCTCGCGGAGATCTAGGGATGGTTGCCATGCCAGCCAAGCCGACTAATGCAATGCAATACTGGAAGAAGAGGAGATACCCGCGCCCGGACCGCGAGTGTGAGCGGGGACGGACACGGCGGCCCTGTGGTGTGGCGGTATGGGCTGTGGCCTGTGGGTTAGGTAAGGCGTAAGAGGCCGAGAGGGAGGAAGCTGGGGGCCCAATAGCTCTCATGGGCCGTGCGCCGCCACGCAACGGATAAAGTTACCGACGTGCTCCTGGCATTCAGCCAACGGGCCAGCTGATTCGAAGTGCTCAACCAGTCAACAGCGATGCACAATGCGCTCACCAATCCAACCTAATCAGATTCATAGGGCCCGTTTCTTTGAACCTTAGTAGCTTTTAGTGGTTTTTTTTCTTCAAAGTTGACTTCCTACCTTTAGGTTTCCAGACGTTGACATTTTACTATTGGCTTTCGTAATAAACTTTTAGTTTCTCGGCATAAAGCCACAAAAGCTTCTCTCAGCGTGGGCACGTGCCTAGCGCTCAAACGTCCGGACGCTAGCCCCGTCCGGGACGCCGCCACGCTTCTCCTCTCATCTCGCGTCCTACATTTGCCCGCCTATGTCTCGCCTATTGTGCCCGCCCGCAAGCACGTGGGGCCCATCCTCACCAGTGGGGACCGCCTCTGCCTTTTCGCACCTGACACCGAGGCGAGACAACAGAAAGACGAGGAGGGAGACGCAACACTCGATCTAGTTTTAAAACATCCAGATGCAACAAACAAATGAAACATTTGAAACATGCGTCTTAAACACTTGCAGAAACAACTGAAAAACACTTACCATTGTAAACATACGCAACATCCAGATAAAACACTAGCATCATATGTGTGAAAACATATGCAACATCCAGGTAAACGCACTTGCAACACACGTCGGGAAAAACAGACACTACTACACAAAATCTTTTGCGTGGCGTTTCCAAAATGGCCTTGGAGGCGGGCGGCCCGGTTACCCGCCTCGTTTATTCGAGGCAGGGCAGCCAGGCCAACGACTGCCTCGGTTAATGATTAACCGAGGCAAGCATTGTAACGTAACCACCTCGGTTAACGGTTACATTAAAATACCCGCCTCGGTTAATAAATATTAACCGAGACGGTTTTTATAAGGCAACCGCCTCCGTAAATCCATTTACGGAGGCGGGCATGCTATAAGGTCCGCCTCGGTAAATACTTGCCCAACTAAAAGCCCAGATAGCCCATCTCGGTCCAATATCGCTCTCAGCGTATATATACCGCACTTAGGGTTTCATTCACACCCATCCAAACTGTCTCTCCCTCTCTCTCATGGCGCCGCATCCGACGGTGGCTCCTCCCACTCTTACCCGACCGAGCTCCTCTCTCTCACTCACCTCCTCCTATCCCTCTCTCTCTGAGCCGCGGACAACTGGCGTACCGGCCGGCCCAGGCGGGCAGCGTGTGGCTTTGCGGGCCCTGCCCAGGCATGTAACGGCACTCCCAGCTCTGGCTTGCGGCGTCCTGCCCCGGCGTGCAGCGTCCCTCCTTCCCCAGCCAGATCTGGTGGCACGCAGCGTGGGGGAGCCACCTCCCTCCTCCCTCCCGGCAGCGACGCGGATCTGGTGGCGTGTGGCACGGGGGAGCCACCTCCCTCCTCTGTCCCATCAGCGACGCGGATCTGGTGGCGCGCGGCGTGGGGGAGCCACCTCCCTCCCGGCGGCGGCCCGGGAAAGCCACCTCCCTCCTCCCCCGACCAGATCTGGTGGCGGCACAGGCGGGGAACGCCAGATCCGGCGGTGACTTAGCACAGGGACGCCGGATCCGGCTCACGGGGATGCGGCAGCGCTGGGGCCGCGCGGAGCAGGCGAGCTCGCCGGTGGGCTCCAAAACGGGCTCATCGGCGGGCTCTGGGCTTTTTTTAATTCATTAACCGAGGCGGTTACCTTATTCCGACCATCTCGGTTAATCGATTAACCGACGCGGATGGCCAACCGCCTCCGTTAAGGCCCGATTAACCGTGACCTTTCGTCGGAGGCGGTTGGAAAAACCGCCTCGGTTAATCCAAAATGCCCGACTCGCAAAAGTTTTATGTAGTAGTGAGATGAAACATTGAGAACAAGAGCTTTCAACATACGTGTACAACCGTTGCAACATGTGCAACACCCCGGTCTACTTTTGCAACATCCGTATGATACACTTGCAACATACCTCTAAAACATTTGAAACACTTGGTTGCAACGTGCATCGCAAACATCTCCTTGTTGCTTGGAGAATTGAGGCT